GGCGCGAGCTCGCACCTGTGTCCAATCAACCGCGCCCGCCGGCGCAGCCGCTACGCCCCGCCCCAGGCCTGGCGAGATAGAAGCGCCGACAGGAAGTTGGACGAGCGTGCTACGCCCCTCAAGGCGCGAGCTCGCACCTGTGTCCAATCAACCGCGCCCGCCCATACGAGGGGCCTCCCATTGGCCTGCTCATGCCGGGAGGCGGGGAGAGGAGGCGGGGCGTCGGGCTAGCACCTGGCCAATGGGAGCATCCACCGCGCGGGCCCCTGGTTGCCCGGGAAACCTAACAGCTTGTGGTCGCTGTACATCGCTGGGTCGGACCCGGCGAAAATGGACAGCCCCTCCGAGCACGCTGGGGACACTGCGAGCGCAGGCGAAGACGAGGACAGCCTGACCTCGCGCCCGACCGAGATCACAGACACCCCTGGCCCCCAAACCCCCACCGAATCCGAGGAGCTGCAGCTCGAGCTGGAGGCGTCGGAGGAGGTAGAGGTGGAGGCTTCGGAGCAAGGCGCCGCCGCAAACGAGCAGCCCGCGGCCCCGGAAGAGCTGGCGGCCACCGAGGCTGCGGGCGAGGACGAGCCCGGAAAGCTGGAGAGGCCGGCCGAGCCCGAATCCGAGCCCAAGGAGCCCGCCGGGGCCGGGGCCGAGGAGTCGGCCAAGCCGCGTTCTGAAGGCGCCTCAGAGGAGGCAGAGGACGAAGAGAAGGGCGAGGCGGAGGAGCCCGTGAGGAAGAAGAAAGCCTCGTTCTGGGCATCGCCGCAGCTGACCACGATCTCCGAGGAGGGGGCGGCGTCCTGGCGGGCAGACCGAGAGCAAGCGAGGCGCGAGGAGAAGGGGACGGACGAGGAGCTCGGGGGCCAGGGTGGGGACGGTCCCCAGCGGAAGAGTGAGAAGGAGCGGATACACTGGAGCCTGGGCAGGGAGGAGGACGAGGAGTGGTCGGAGGAGGTGCAGAAGCTGCAGGAGCAGCAGCTGCGTAGCGAGCTCCTGGAGCAGTACCGCGCCCTGGTGGTGGAGCGCTCCCGCTACCAGCGCTACAACATGTACCTGCAGCAGCAGATCTGCGAGGCGCTGCGTAGGAAGAAGGGCCTGGACTCTGCAGCAGGGCCGCCAGACAAGGGCCCGGAGCCCGGGGCCCCCGAGAAAGAGCAGACGTACTGGCGCTATCTGGCCACGCTGGAGGAGCTGAGAAAGCAGGAGCTGGACGACCTGGAGTGGTACCAGAAGGAGGTGGGTCGGCTGAAGCAGCAGTGCCAGGAGCAGCTGGCCGGGGTGCAGAAGGAGTGGCGCCACTTCCAGGCCACCAAGAAGCAGGTGGTGATGCAGGCCATGGGCAGCTGTCGCATGTGGGGCGGGCGCCAGGCAGCTCTGCGAGAGGTGGAGCAGATCCAGGCCCTGGAAGACAAAAAGGAGGAGGAGATGAGCGCTGTGCGGCTGGAGAACGTGCAGCTGAAGCAGAGCCTGGCGCATTTCAAAACCAGGATGCGGGCCCAGGAGGACTTGGCGGAGGGGCTGCTCCTCATCGACTTCGAACAGCTGAAGATTGAGAACCAGTCCTTCAATGAGAAGGCTGAGGAGCGGACTGAGGAGGTTCTGAAGTTTCGCAGCAAGGTGACCAGCAACGTGCAAATCATATCCCACGCGAAGGAAAAGTTGCACTTCCTGGACATGAGGAACGCGCACAAAAAGATGGAGCTTTTGGGGATCGAGGCTCAGGTGGCCTTGAGAAGGGACATCCTGACCAAGACTAAGCAAGCCCGCGACAGTCTGCGGGTGGACAACCACAGGCTGAATCAGAGGTGTGGGCTACTGGGCCAGGAGTCACTCCTCCGAGACTTGGAGGAGAAGGTGGACAAGACTGAACTGCTCAGCCAGCGCCTGGAGTCCCTGAAGCGCCACCACGCGGGGCTCACTTTGTCCTGCAAAGGCGTGAAGCAGAAGATCAGAGAAGCCAAAGCCTTCCTCCCCTCCTGACCACGCCAGCCCAGCCAACTTTGACCTTCATTCGCTTTTAATCTCCGTTGCTGCCATTCCTTGAGACCTGTTGTACTTGGGACACAACTATATCTTTTTCTCATAATTTTTCAACTTCTGAATTAGTGCTGAGCCCAAACTTGGCTTAGCAGTTTTGTATGGGATTAAGCAAGAGAGGCCTAGAGAGACAAAAATGGGTGATTGAATGTAAATGACTTCTCACAAAAAGCTCTCAAAAATCTTTTCCTAGCTGAGCAATTCTGTAATTTCAAGGATTTAATACTAAAAAAATACTGTTCCCTCTTCTTTATGTAAGGAGATTTTAAAAGCTGAATCAGTGGGCAGGGTACAGAAAAATTCCTGTGTGTTAACCAAAGTATTAAATTCTCTTCGTACTACTAAACTGTGTAGTCCTAAATCTCCCTCTCAACTAGAAAGTACATCGCTAATTCCCTTAATCTTATTTTGTACATAATCAGTACTGGGATTATTTTTAAAAATCCAGAAGCTGGGCATGGTGGTACACACCTGTGATCTCAGCCCTCAAGAGGCTGAAGCAGGAGGATTGCAGTGAGTTTGAGGCCAGCCTGAATTACATACCAAGATCTTGTCTCAAAACAAACAAAAAAGTTTGTTTAATAAAATGCAGAAACAGAAGAGGTGATCAACAGGAAAAGGAGCTGATGTTCTATCATCTTCCTCTTCACTGGAGAAAGCTCAGTCTAGTTATAGTAATCAGTAGTGTCTGTTTCTGCCTCACTAACAGTCTTGAGTAGGAATTCAACATTTTCCTGGCTCCTCTGAGGAAATGCACTGATTTTCACACACAAAGACATTTTGTTTTCCGGTTTTCATTTTGGAAAACAAAATGGTGACTGTATTGTTCCACCAGGTGCAAAGAACATGGAGCAGTGACCGCTGCCAGCACAGAAGACGGCCTGTGTGTTTAGCTGGGTGTGGAGCCAGGACAGAGCACCTCCTGTTCCCACACTGAAGTGGGTCAGGAGAAAGACAACCCGCTTTCGGTGCCGAACACTTACCGGATGGCAGAAACCCCACTCTGCAGGTGGCTCAGCCGGCTGTCGGTTACTGGTGCTGTGTCTTTTGCTGACATGGTTTTATTTTCTAGTATATTCTCTCTGAAGTCAATGAAAGTTCAGTTCTTTTTGAATGCCATGGCTTGAATACACTTTTTGTGATACCACATGAACATAATGAGGGGAATAAAAAACCTCTGACTTGGCTTCCATTCTCCCTCTTTCTTGCTATAACTGGCCTTCTACCCTGCCATCGCAGCCCAGGTGAAACACCAAACCACTAGCAAATGGAACTATCTCCCTGTGGCTCGGTTCCCCTGCCGGGGACACTTCCCAGTGAAACTGGCCATGGTGCTCAGGGTCGGGACCAAGCAAGTAGCTTTTGCTGGAATGCTGCCCTTTAGCTCCTGGGTTCACTGCAGCGGAATGTGTATTTTCAGCAGATTTTGACCTGGCAGCGGTTGGCCCCCTGGCCAGCCTGTAACCCGGGGACAGGCAGATCCCTTAGAGCTCCGATGAACGAGAAGTTTGCTGAAACTGGTGTTGCTTTTGGCTGCAAAGCAAGTGAATCCTACAGCAACAACTACACAGTCACCCGTTTTCTCATTACAGAACCTCGTGCTGGAGATGGTACAATTAATTAGAAGAAACTCTTGGGCTGATTACCTCCTAATGTGGTTCTCTAATTAGACTACAAGAGAGTAATCATGAGAGAGACACATTCACAAACTGTTTCAGACATACCTTTGGAGGCAGAATCTGCAGACCCAAGTGCTCTCTATCCCTGAGGTCGCCTCGCACAGCTGTCTGCAGCCCACAGAGGCCGTGTCCAGCCCCACCCAGCAATCAGCCACAGCGAACGTCTCCTGGGCTATCTTGCCCTGCTAAGACCAAGTCCCCGAAAGCCAAGGACTTGTCTCACCCTGGCCAGCAGCCAGCATAGAAAAGTTGCTGAGTTCATACATCAGTGCAGTGCCAAACTCTTCTGTCTTCTGCACAGAAGTGCTCTTTGAGGGCCAGGGAATTAGCTCAGTGGTGCTGTGCCTGCCTTACAAGTGCAAGGTCCTGAGTTTGATCCCCCGCATCCCCAAAAAAGTGTTCTTTGAATGCCTATAGTGGGTCAGGCATTGCTAAGTCCTATGCTGGGCTGGAAGATAATGACAGGCAGGATGAGGATGGCACTGAGGAGGGCAAGTGGTGAGGCCCAGACTCACAGTCTGGGAAGGGAATGTCGGACCCAGCAGGGACTGCACGACCCAACAAGGCCCACTGCTCCAGCAGGGCTACCGGCAAAGTTAGACTTGGCTGCTGTCCTTGCCCAGGAGTACAGGGCCTGAAAACAAGGAAACACTTTTCCTCTGTAAGCAAAAATCAATTTTGGTGACTTACCCCTGCACTTGAGGCTTCTCAGTCATGCAAGTGGAAAAACATACTCTCTTTCTGCGTAAGTCCCCTGAAACCATGATTTAGGGTTTTGGCATTGAGATGGGGTGCCCGTCCATATAGTAATGTCAGGGCCAATGCACCCCAACTGTGCTCTTGTGATGTGACTGTTCAGACTGCAGCAGAGTGATGAGTCCCCGAACGTTGGGAATGAAAAGGCAGCACGAATCTCCCTCCTCCCAAGAGATCCTCTAGTTCTTACCTAAATAACCAGTGACCATTCGATCCCCGGCACCAAAAAAAAAAAAAAAAAAACTAGTGACCAAATATGTGTTTGTTGTTTTGGTTTTTTTTTTTTTTTGGTACTAGGGATCGAATTCGGGTCCTTGCGCTTGCGAGGCAGGTGGCAGAACCACTGAGCTAAATCCCCGGCCCAGTATGTGCATATTTTAACAGAGCTACACTCCCCCTATCGTTTGATTGAATGCAGTAGGGACTGAGTCCAGAACTACATCCCCAGCCCTTTGAGACAAGATCTCACTACATTGCCCAAATTGGGCATGAACTTGTGATCCTCCTGCTTCAGCCTCCCAGAGTGCTGGGATTACAAGTTTGGTCCACCGAGCATGAAATGTTTTTAATTTTTTCAATTGATGAGCCTTCTAACATCTCACCCAAAGGCTGCCAATGGCCAATACAAGATGGATCTAGAAGACAAGTCATGGTACGGAGACGCTGGAACCGGGATGACCTGAGACAGAACACTTTGCCTGTCTAAAGGTCACCGTATTCATTTGGGAAACTTTTATTTACAGGATAAACACAGAATATGAAAACATCTCTTCCCTGGGTGATAAAGTCAAGAGGAATTGTTTTCTTTGTGCTTTTCTGTGTTTCTAAATTTTACACAATGACATGTATTTAATTAAGGAGAAATCAGTTATTTTTTAAAATCTAAGTTAGGTGGGGCTGGGTTTTTAGCTCAGTGGCGCCACACCTGCCTGGCAAGCACAAGGCCCTGAGTTCCATCCCTGGTACTGAAATAAATAAGTAAATAAATAAAATGTAAGTTCAAGAGTTAAATAAGATGCTCAGAGTTGGGCTGAGGATTTAGCTCAGTGGTTTCGCCACCTGCTGTGCAAGCGCAAGGAACCGAGTCCGATCCCCGGTACCAAAAAAAAAAAAAAAAGATGCTCAGAGTTTACATGGCAAAGGCAATGCTTCTGGGTTGTTTGTTCTGAGGGGATTTGGGGGTATTTTTTGAGACAGGGTCTCACTGTGCAGTTCAGGCTGATCTTGAACTCACTATATAGCCCAGTCTGGCCTCAAACTCCTGGCGATCCTCCTGCCTCTGCCTCTTGAGTGCTGAGATTTACAGGTGTATGCCACCACACCTGGCTTTTTGTTCCTGGGTTCTTGTGTTACACTTCAAGAAGCCCTCTTATTTCTGTTTAGTCTTCACAAACCAGTGCGTGGCCACTGGGGTCCCCTCGGAAGCTTTGGTTAAAGAAAAGGAAATTGAGGCTTAGAGACTCAGGAAAGTCTCCAGGCAGAGCTGCACCCCATGCTCAGCCTCCAGCCAGGCTACACCCTCAGCTCTGGTTTATTTCTGGTTGGTGCAGTTCCCACCAGGAGCTCCAGGGAGGGAGAGAGACTGAGGAACATCACCAAGACAAACCAAGACTCCGGGGTCCAGCTCAAGGCTTCTACGTCCATGGACAACTGGCTTTGCTGTAATGTCTGGGGAGAAGGCTGCTCCCTCACTCCGAAGCCCCGCCACAGACTTGGCACCTTCAGGGCTTTGGCACTTGGTCCTGGCCCAGCAGGGTGGCTCGCTGGGCTCCAGGCAAGCTATCTGGGAGGTGGGCAGCACTCACCAAGGAGCAGCCACAGGGCAGGAGCCAGGTGCTCTAGGCCTCTCATACTGGGCACTTTACAGTGTGGCCACGTTCCCAGGCAGGCAGGCACGGACCTAGTATCATCTGAAAGGTCCCTGGCACGCTCGGCACCATGTAAAGCAGATGGTTTTGGTTTGTAGCTAGATGTCCCCTGAAGTCTCAGGCAATCAAAGGCCAGGCAGGTGGAAGATGACAGGATAATGGAGGAGCCCTGGAGTCCCATGGCCCTAGTCTGGACCCCAGCTCTGCCACTTCGGGCTACAGGAACCTGAACAAATCGCTTCTCTTGGGACCAGGGATGAGGAGTCTTCCATAGAACTGCTGTGGAGATGAAATGTTCACTGGCTCAGAGCCCAGAGTGGCCGGAGCAGGCAGCCAGTCCTCAGCAAACGTGGCTGCGCCAGCTGCCACCTCACCTCACAGAGTCCTGGTCACAGGGAAGCGGTTCACCTGAGGCAGAGGCAGGCTGGCAGCTGAGGGTCCTGCTGGGGCCAAGACTGCAGCAACCAGCACTCGGCAAACTCCCACATGGTCCTCAGCCTGGAAGTGACAGAGCCGTCTCCTCCTCAGGCTCCTGCCTGTGTAAACTGGAAGAAGACACTTGCCTGCCACTCACCCTGCTGGTTCTCAACGGCCCCTGGCCTCACCCTCACAACGACCCTCGTGAGTGGCGTGGCTTAGGCCGCGCATGGGGAGAAGCCCAGGGAGCCCTGCTGGAGCTGAACCTCGCCGCCTGGCTGCAGGCTGCTGAGAAGTTTCCTGAGGGAATGCGAAGCACCCTTGGCCCAATGGCTGGCACGGAGTAAGTACCGGTTGAGGAACATCTCGATGTACAGCAAGGTGAGGGGTGGCCGACACAGTGAGGGCGGGAGCTGCAGGCAGGGCTGGGCGCCCTCCGATGTGTAAGGGCAGGGCTCAGCTCCGGACGCCTGAGACTGAACCACGCGACCACACTGCCTTTGTGTTCAGCAAGCCCAGCAATGGATGTTACGATCCTGGGGCAGCTCAAGGCTCAAAGTCAAATTTTTGCCATGCTTCAAAGTGAGAATTTCAACTTTAAAACCCAACAACAATGAATGTAACAATTTACATGACTTTTATTTAATAAAACCACATATTTACAATTCAAAAAGTCCTTCTTTGATATACTTTACTAAATAAGATTAAAGGTTACTGTACAAGCAATTAAAACATGGTATGTAGGAAGCGTTACCAGGAGTTTTCTACCAGCAAACTATTCAAAAGTCAAAAACTGCACCTTGGAGGTACACAATGTTCCCAAATGAGACCCCAGGGACCGGCAGAGGGCAAGGTGCTGCCCTGACCGGAAGTCCCAGGGTCACCAAGCAGGGGCAGGAAGTGCACTCGGGCTCTTCAGGGCAGCGTCTCTGCGTCTGTTCCCAGTTTGCCTATACAGTGAGGACACAGACCGTATGCCACCGCCACCGGGCCAGCACTGCTCCGCGCACAGGGCACAGGGACCCGATCCCTGAACAGGCTGCAAAGCCTGGTCTGCACTAAAGATGTGGTCAGTGCTGCAGACTGGCACGGAGTCCTGCTTAAAACACAGTACACCGCCACAGATTTGTGTCAGACAGCTGGACAGGAATCACTACAAGCAGGGCTGGGAACACGGGGAATCGCATCTGGAACAGGCGGCCCGAGGCCGGCTGTGCCTCCTCTGTACAGGCTAAGGAACATCTCTACATACAGTAAGAAAATCTATACATCTTGTAAAGGACAGGAAGCCCATGGCATGGAACACAGCTGAGTACATTTGTGAGGAGGGTGGTGCAGGGCTGGGCACCCCATCTCCCGCAGGCCATGGGCCTGGGCTACATTCAACATCTGATGTCAGGAATGACAGGGTCTGAGGGCAGCGCCCCCTCCAGGCCAGCTGGTATCATGGCGCCCTGCAGCCTCCTGGGAAACTGAAGGGAGATGCAGGGGAGAGGAGATTCCAGGAGCAGGGACGTGGGGTGCAGTGGGATGAGGGCATGGGGATGACCACAGCTCGGCCCTGCCCGAGTGCCATGAGGGGGCAGCGGGTAAAGCCTGCAGCCGCCTGTCTTCCACCCGCCAGGTCCCGTGCCGCGGGCCGCACCACCACCAGCAGAGGGGTCCCCTGGAGATATGGCTGGAGATATGGCTGAGAAGGGCTGTGGCGTGCAGACCACACAGGCACTTGCAAATGACGGCCTTGACCCGGCCTCCCACCCCCAGGGACCAACACCGAGAGTGGATGGGGCAAGCTCACTGGAACCCGCTTCTACAGTACGGGTCTGTCCTTGGGACTAGTGTGGAAAACCTCATTTCTGGCAATCTGGATAATCAAACTTCTTACACAAACTTTCAAAATACTCAAGGAAAGGCTAGAACAAAAACATTTGCCAGTAATTTAGAACAAGAAAGGCTGGTGGTCCGAGAGGAGAACTTGCCAGCGGTGTGGACTGCTTGGCGTGCCTTGGCCTCCCTCCTGACCACAGCTTGTGAAGCGCATCATTTCCAGCCACACTGGGAGGGGAAGCATGGCACTTAGGATGGAGCCAGCCGCTCAGGTGACCAGGGCAGAAGGGACATTCCGCTGGAGCAGAGAGGCCTCCGCTTGACAGTGCTTCCAGGGCTGCACCTGCCACCCCGCGGGAGCAGGGCGTGAGTCGCCCTCTTCTGCCCTCCTCCCCCTCTGGGGGCTGCCGCTGGCTCTGCGGCCGTCTTCTGTGGCCTTCTCTGCGCGCAGCTCCCCCGATCCAGCTTCCCATTGGGGCTGCAGCCAGCCTTCCTGCTTGCTGAGTCAAGGCAGCAGGCCAAGGCCGAGGCAAGCTCAGGTGGACTCGCGGTCATGCCGTCTTTGGTATGTAGGTTTTCGAATGTGACCTCCATCTCTGAAGAGATTACCTCAAAAATTATACCAGCAACTCCTCCCTCATCCAGCAACACCTCAGAGGCCTCCCAAGCGACACTGCTCATGTGCCCTGGCTAAGAAAATCGTACTTTCCAGTGGTTGGCATCACAGTGCCACAATTTAATGAACTTCACTGAAATAAAGGAGAGGGTGGGGTCGGCCACTGACCCGTCTTCAGCCGAGTGGAAAGCACAGCACTGGCCACAGCTGATGCCAGGGCACTGGTCTGCTGAGCTGCTTAAGGCTAAGCCTGGCTTTAATTCTTTCAAAGCGCTTTAGTTTTGTTTGTTTAAGGCCAATTCCAGGGTCAGGACCAAATGTGACAAGAGCCCCCGTTCCGCTCTGTAGCCAGGTGTAGGTCTGGACGCACACGCACACAGTGCCACTGGGACCTGCTTCCGGCAAGGGCGTGCACCTGCAGCCTCAGTGCCTGAGCGACGGGCTCCCCTTCTCCTGCTCCCGGCTGTCCCTCTGCAGCGCAGCCAGCACCTGGAAGCACAGAGCAGACACCTGGGGTAGCGGGGAGTGCAGAGACTGCGGCGCCGCCTACTCGCAGCTCCTGCCACTTTACCTCTTCCTGCCTCCCGGGCTGCCCCAGCCCCACTCCACAGGGATCTCGACGTGGGCAGCGCCCACCTCAACCTACCTCCAGGGCTGGACTCCCTCCACAGCCCGGACTCCCACCCAGCAGCCTGCAGGACACTCCAGCCCTGTCCCTTCACCTCCCCCGGGGGCGTCAGCCCATCGGGTGCCTTTCTGAGTGGCTGATGACTGCCCCCTTCTCTGCTCTCAGAGCACTCCACTCACACCTCTGTGTAACACAGCCGGCTGTGCGGTGACTGCCTGGCAGCACTGCTGACAGCAGAGGCCCCACTTGGGAACTCTGCTCATGCCACACAGAGCGCCTGGGGTGGCAGCGCCCGCTGCCAGGAGGAGCATCTGGGTGGCACCATGCCACACCCAGCCCAGGGATAAGGGGGAAAGCAGAAACACTGTAGGTAAGTTTCAATCAGTTGCCTGGAAGGAGTAAGAGACAAAGGCCCCTCCGCCCCCGTGAGCAGAAACACTCACGTGGCTGGGAAAAGCTCCCAGCGCCCTAAGTTCACACCCAGAATCTGAGAGAACCAGTGGGCCCCACTCCCATGAGCCCAGACTGCACAAAACCACTGCTGCCCGCGCCCTGCTGAACGAACTCCTGTCACTCTGCCACTCGCTGCTACCCAGAAAATGCCCCGCTGTTCGCACAACCCCTCGCCTACTCTCACCACTCTTCCGTTCCTAAGATGAAAGAAGCGAAATGGCAACAGCGGGTCTGATCCTCCCCCTGTGGGCCTGGGGCTGGGGCCGGGGCTGGACCTCAGAGCACATGGAAGCCGCTGGTCCACAGGCTCCAAAGCACAGCCTCAGCCCGCACTGGCCCAGGGTTGGAGAGGCCCTGCTTGGCTCGGTCTCTGCTCTGCACCTTCAAATCCTCATTTTCCAGCAGAGGCCCGTTTCCATGGGCACTGAGTCCACCTTCTCAACAGCCCTGCTGAGATAACTCAGACAACTCCCCCGAGAGCCAGCAGCTCTCCAGAGCACTTCCTGGTGTCACCCAGGGCCACACCCCACAGCCACACTGAGCACTATATAAGAGGGCGGGGCCAGCAGGACACGCCTGGGTGGCCAGACATGCCCAAGGCGAGACACTGAATCACACACTTCCGAAGGGTGAGCTTTTGGTCTTTTTGCTAATATCCAGGATAGATGGCTGAACTGCGCAGGAAGTGATCTTGCAACAAGCCAGCCCGACACCTGGTGAAGGCTGGGGTCTGTTTACAGGAGCTCGGAGGCCCAGACAGAGGGACGGAGGCTGTGGGACAAAAGCCTGGGTCCTTCCACAGACAGGGCGAGGCAGGGGCACATGGGAGAAGGTGGAGCACGTATCCACTCCACATGGTTTAAAGGTCTTCGGCTGATCACAAGGCCTGAACCTTCCTGGGATCTTGACTCACACTAGAAACCCACTAACGACATCAAACAAGAAACTCGAAAACGATACTTGACAGTAACTTCTGGAGTGAAAACAGTACACACTTATTTGAACAGCCCACGTGGTTTGGAAAGAGACAACATTTACAGATGTGACACTGCCGGACTCCCCTGAGAACCGAGGTGCACGCGCGCACACAGAGCTGAAATGAGATGGGCCGTGCTTCACAGTCCTGAGGCTGGAGGATGAGAAGGGGCTCGTTACTCTGTTCTGTTCTAGTTCACATATCCTCTAGAGTGAATGGAAACGCTGACTGACACGAGGACAGGCACCGTCTGGCGTGATGGCAAGGCACAAGTCTCCACAGGCACCCGGAACTCGGTGAGGCCCAGCACAGACAGGACAGGGCCAAGGTGGGTGGGGCTTCCCTTGCAGGACGGTACTACCTGGAGCCAGACAGCACCGTCAACCCCACAGGACCGGGCCAGGCCTATGAGGGACATGTGAAGGACTCAAGAGGAAGGCCCGAGCCAGAGGCGCTCAGAGCATAGGCCGGGCGGGGCGGGACTGAGAGGGACTGGCCTCCCTCCGTCAGCAGTGAGGCGGGCCAACCAGCTCCTCCAAGGGAGCACAGGCCCCTCGATGGGCCCCGCCCCAAGCAGGGCACAGCAGTGCCTCCCGCCCGTGGCATCGTTCTAAGGGAAGGAGAAGCTGCTGATGCCTGATGCCTGGCGCCACTACAGCAAGAGGACCGGCCTTCCTGCCCACGCCCATACCCTCCAGCTGACTGAGACCCACAGAGCACGCCCGGGGCAGAGCCGGGCCCACCCTGCACACAGTGGTGCTCCATCCATGCCGGCCAGCAGCTCTGGGGAAGGGAAAGAGGGGCAGGGAACTGCTTACCTGTGCCCACTTCTTGTTCCGACTCTGCATCTGGACGGTGGTGATGGCCACGAACACCTCATCTGCTGGCAGGTCCTCGGGCAGCCGGGTCAGGAACTGGGCAATGTGGATGAAGTCCATCCTGGTCAGGATGTCTTCGAACAGCTTCAGGATGCCCAGGGCCGTGCGGAAGAGGAACTCCTCCCCATCCCGGCAGAACACGTCCCAGATGCGGCAGGCCAGGTCCAGGGGCAGGGACTTGCTGTACAAGGTGAAGATCCTGGGGAGGGCAGGGAGTTCAGATTGAGGGAGGCGCAAAGGAAGCCCTGAACTCTAGCCTGGGGCTGAGGACCACCAGGCAGCACCGGGCGCCCCACAGAATGGACCTGAATGCCACACCCACACCCACTGCAGCCCGCCGCCAGGGCTGGGCACCATGGTTAGGACGTCTGCCTCCAGGGGCTCCGTGAGATAAGAAAGAGGGTCAGAAATGTGCGATTCCAGGTGTACGCACAGCCACCCAGGCATGGGCAGGGCTCGGTTCTTCCCTGGAGGCCTCTCCCTTTCCCTGTGGATGGCAGCTCCACCCTGTGTCCTCTCGTGGCCGTGCCGCTGTCCCCTGTACCCCATTTCCTGATAGTCCTCTGCTCCTGCACCCATCGAGCCTGCAGGCCCAGCAGGCCTCTTGCAGCCACTTGAGCCAGGGTCCCCCAACGACCAGGCCCTGCTGAGAGCCAGAGCTGTGGCCAAGCTACTTCTGACCCCCACCCTTGCCTGCAGTCAACTCAAGAGCACAGACCTCTGTCCCTAGCAGTGCCCACTCCGGCTGCCCCCAGCAGGGACACTCAGAGGTGGTGAAGCCTCTCCTCTGCCCTTGACATGAGAGCCATCCATTACCCGGAGCTTTCAAGCAGTCAGCTGAGCATGAAATCACAACTGGACTCAAAAGTGTGGGAGGCTGAAATGATCTCTCTAAAACACATGGCTGGAGCTGCCCGGGTCAGCCTGCAGCCTGGGAGGGGATGGCAAGCTCCATCCTGAGCCCGCAGAGCTGCTGCCTGCTGTCTGCAAGGCACCTTCCCGCAAGTCCTCAGCCCATGTGTGCTGACACACGACAGTGTGCAGGAGCAGGGCCAGGTTGCACACGCCCAGGGACTCCACACCCCTTCCTGGTGCTCTTCCACCGTAAGAATTCAAGGACATTCGTCTCCCAAGAAATGTGTACTTCCTCCAGCCACTGTGTATAATGCACTTGTAAGTTCAAAGGGAAGGAGTGAGATGTGCTGTGTATGTGTAAATGTATTTATGTAGGGGAGACACACTAATAAAAAAAGGGGGTGTGTTCAGGTACAAGTCCACTAATGCCAAACAGTGCACCCGTGTGGGTAGGAAGGGAAGGTTCTCCCATCAAGCCTTCCTGGCCTCCAGAAACTCTGATCTAGCCACGCCTGCCCTGACTGCTGGTCTGGCTCTGCAGGACAGCAGGGAGCTGCAGGAGGAAGTCAGGGAGTGAACTCTCAGAGTCAGGGGAGGGAGAGGACAGCAGTCCCTAGCTGTGAACAGCAGAGTGCCCAAGCCCACGCTGCACTCAGTGGCCTCACAGTCCTTACTGTGTCCCCCACTGCAGCCCCAAGGGAAGGCACCATCTTGCCTCCATTTTGCCGACCAGGAAACTGCAAGTAAAGGGAGGTTGAGAAAAAAGAGACTTCAGTTCAAAGCTAAAGAGTCAAAAGCACCTAGGGGACTCCCTTAATGAGGAGCCACTACCCAAGACGACTTCCAGCCCCGGCCTGCCACGGCCCCTCTGTGCCCACCTTTCCCAGCCCGCTAGGTCAGGAACGGGCTCTGGCCCCAGGGCAAGAGCAGGAGTCCTCCTGCCCTTCAGCCCTCCCGCCCTGGGCCTTCCTGAGCTCCCAAGCCGGAACAGGTAGGTGTGCTGGACGGAGAACCTCAGTGCAGCTCAGCCGGAGGCTCTGGCAGCAGCCAACACCCAACCAGACCAGGCTTGGGCAAAGCTGAGGCCTAGGCCAAGGCTCAGGCCAAACTTAGAAGCTAAGCTCAGACACCCAACCTGGCCTTCGCCCAAAGTCCCACCTGAGCCCAGGGCATCCTCCCCTGCCCAGCACCTAGCAGGGACGAGAAGCCTGCAGCAAACAGGCTGTGAGCTGTCCTGTGTGTAGTTCACTGCCCCACACTGCCCGGGTGCCGGAGCCCCAGGGGTCCTGGGCAGACCTATCTCCCAGGAGCCGAGCGCCACCAGCAGTTCCTGTGCAGGATGGGACAGAAACCCAAACCTCCATGGGCACCTCCTCAAACCTCTTTAAGTAAAACTCATACAACAATAGCTCTCTAAATATCGGCAAACATCATTTCAAAAAACATCAATCTTGATAAGGAATGCACTGTTGGATGCATTCCTTATCTTTGGATGCATTTAACTAGTTCAGTTATTTAGCATAAAACCCACTCATGCCTCCAAATAATCCTGCCACATGTTGACAAGCAAGGGTCCCTGACAGCCGGAAGCATCCAAACTCCATAGGAGGACGAAGGGCTGAGGGCCCTGGTTCTGAGCCTCAAAGCTGAGTCAGACAGTGGAAGCCACCACCAGCAGGAGGTGTACAGGTGGGCAGGCCAGCAAAGGTGGTTCCAGGCTGGGAGTCGCCGCTGGGCCCGGGGCCAGGCCCTGCAGACCAGAGGTGGCCACGGGGCTCTCTGGCAGGAGAAACAGGAAATGGGTGACACGTGAGAGCACTGGTGCTGGGCGGGAGCAGGCGGGCGGGTGGGCCCCGGCCGAGCAGGTTCTTCCGGTCATGCTCGCAGCAGCCACCCGAGTGAGTACCTGGTGGCCAAGCCCTCGGGGCCTCCCAGGCCACACTGGGGAGAGATCAGGCATCAGGGGCCGGAGCACTGGGACTCTGCCGCTCAATACTTCCTGCACGCAGAGCACAAGGTAGACGCTGCACGGGGCAGGCAGCCTTTATGGTGAGGATGAGGCTTCTGGCGACTTGAAGGCCCGATCTAGAGTCAGACGAGCTGATGGCACGCTCAGGGGCCTCCTCTGTGCTGAGAAACAGGGACATGGCTTCTGGGCACTTCGAGGGAACAGGTGGGCAGCTTCCAGGCTAGCCCCAGCAAGTCTCGCTCCTGCCTCTACTTCCTCCCCAGCCCTGCTTCTGGCCGGAGCTTGCACCTCACTGGCAGCACCCAGCCATCTATAAATGACGAATAAAGGCCGACTCATAGACGCACGTACCCTGGGCCCACTCCAGCTTACACAGCACTCTGGCACCACCTGCTGCTTGCCCGGCCCTGCGCTGGACCTGCACTCACAGCCACACCCTGCTTGGCCTCTAGCAACCAGCCCACGCTCAGCAGGCACAAGCTGGGCCTACAGCAGGCAGCTGTCCGTGGCCCTCAGGCGCCAGTGACACTGCAGCTCGAAGGTCTCAGTCCCTTCCTGTCCGTGTGGAGCCCTAGACTCACAGCCGCCTATAGGCTGGGATGGGGACAGAACTGTTCTCTGGGCCATGCCTGTCACAGCACCAGGTGTGAACCAGCCACCTGTCACCAGAGAACGCCACAGAATGCTCCCCATATCGTCCAGGGTAGGGGTAGGAGCTGCTTCAGGAACTCCTGTCCCTGGCACACACATGTTAAGTCTCTGCATGCGGGGACTGCCTTTTGCAAGTCAGAGGGAGAAGAGTTTGCACGCACCACTGACTTCCTCCTAGAACCGGGACACAACCAACGTGCTCAGGCAGGTGCTCAGACGCAGGGCTGTCTGCATCCCCTCCCTCCCAAACACCCTCTACACGTCCCAGCTCCCAGCCTGGGGACCCACGGGGTCAGAGCTCACGGTCAAATGGACAGAATGGGTGCAAAATGGGGGTGGTGAGGGCCCGGCTCCACAGTCGAACATGCAAGGGGATGGAGAAGCAGCCTGGGTCGAGCACAGCCCGACAGGCCACCCAAGTGCCACTCGAGGCCACAGTCTGCCATCCGACAGGGACAGCTCCCACAGCTTCAGCTGCAAGTTCCCACCTCCACACCCATGTTCATGTGAAGGACAGAAGCCACAAGCACCAACCACCCCAGGCTCCACACAAGGCTGCTCTGGTACCCGTGGGAGCAGTGCTTGGACCCCACCTTCTGGAAGGCTCCTGCCTCCGCAGAGGGTGACACCCAACAGCCGGTTGCTACTCACGGTGGCTCTATGTTCACTCTGGGAGCTGGTGTCAAAGCCCAGGGAGGGCTCTGCCCACTCCTCTGTGGAGCCCTTCTCTACTCCAGGCAACCTGGAGCCCCACAGGCCACTCCTCCCTGCCAGCCTGCTCAAGCGCCCTCCCACCTTCTCTCCATGGACTCTGACCCTTGGACTGGGGCTGGTCCACGCCTCTCCTTCCCTCTCTTCTCCTGACACGGGCCTCTCCACTAGGCAGCAGTGCGGGAGACCCCAATACTGATCATGCCCAAGGCAGGCTGTGAAGAGCTAACCCCACGACTGCTTGTTTTGAGAAGTGAGTCCGGCTGAAGCCTAGTGCCGAGGTCAGAGTAACTCGCACCCAAATTTCGTTCCCACAACTAAACCTTCTGATTAGAAGGACAGTGTTCTCAACACAACCATATATTCTGTCTATTCCGTTCCTAACTCGGGAGTACTTTGTCTTGTCTTTAACGAGCCTTGTTTACATTCATTCCACAGAAAGCACACGACTGCGTACCCACTCACAGAGCTCTGTCCTTGCACACAGCTCGCCTTTACCCCAACTGATTACTGTGAAGAAGAGCGCCTGGGACTGGCCAGCGCCCCTCCCAGCTGCACCGGCATTGTTGTCCTGGCCCCCGCTGTCTCCCTTAATTCTGCCTCAAGCCCACGCTATAGACTGGGCAGGAGACTGGAGCCTACTGCAGGCTTTGCAGCAACGTTTCAGGGACACCAATACAGAAGCTCCTGAGAAGCAGGTCTGGGCGGCAACCCGCTCACCACCCACCTGAGGGCCTGGCAGAGGGCCGGGCACAGACCAACAGCCACACAACCCATCTACTGGGTGGATAAATGGCGCCCTGCAAACATGGTTCCAGGGCACCACCTCGCCTTGGGGGAATCGAGGCCCAGCTGGAGTCGGAAACAGAAAGGAGCCCATGGTGCGAGGTAGCAGATTAGCACTCAGGAGCCTGGAGGACGAGAGCGCTGGGTGGCCACGAAGCAGGATAGGGGCCTTAGACGAATCCCGAAAGCAGCTGCAGGGAGGACAGTGAGAGACAAGGCAGTGGACAAGGAAATGCTCAGAAAACCCAGCCTTACCAATCAATTAGATAGATGTCTGGAGTTAAGTTGTTTTTCTTGAAATGAGCAAATAATTTCGGCAAATTTTCTTCAAAGAATACCTCAAATGCAGCAAAGTAAGTCAGCATCTAGGGAGAGAATATAAGACACACAAATAAACCATTTATCAGCACAAGTTTCCAGTGTGCAGATGACACTTGCTGCACTTAGATCTTGAGAATCTCACACAATTACTCTTACTCAACGGCCTGCTCACTTTGAATGGCAGCCGTAGGTGCAACCCGGACAAGTTTTAAGCGAACACCACCCCTAATCTTCACGGTAGCATCACTAGCCACGTTCATTGCTTCTTCACTTTACAGAAAAGAAAGGGCAGCTAAGTACCTCACCAAGGAGGAGCAGAGTACTAGCAGGCAGCGCTGGGACTTGAATTCAGGCCTGTCCCATCACAGAGGATGAGCCTATGGTTAAAGAGCAAGCAGCTTTTTCCTGACCCAGTCCTCCCAGAGAGGCAAGGGGTCTCACATCAGAGCCAGGGCCTGGCCTTAAACCCACACACCCGCGAGCGCATGCAGTGAGAGATGGAGAGGAAGGGCCCCTGCCTGCACCTTACTGGGCCCTGCAAGTGTTTTACGGAAACAAAATGCCCAAGCAGGAGTGCCGTGGCACTGCAAGAGAGCAGCCTGCACTGGGAGGCGGCCGGATCTGCACTCTGCACCCTGCCCCCCTGCGGGCTGCCCGCAGCAGAGCAAAGAAACTGCTCGGCCTCATGGAGGGGCTGCACTATGGACCACAGAGTGCGTTTTGCAGCCCAGGGGACATCTGGGAATATCTGGAGACACTTCTGATTGTCACAAGAGGGGCCGGGGCTCCGGGCATGAGCATCTTGAGGGAAGGCTGCAGCAGACACCGGCCGACGCGCAGGGCAGCCCACACCAGGGTGATCTGGCCTGGACCCGGGGTGCTGCTGGGGAGAACTTGCCAAAGCCCGGGTCCCACTCAGCATTGTGCCTCTAGGATTCTGCCTTAAAGCTGTAAGCTAAAACTACTAAGTATAGTTTTTATTACATGTTTCCAAAGAGAAACTGGGATCTTCAATATTAGCAGAACTTGGGTGGAAATCACTTTATTATATACAATAACATAAGATTAAATTTACAACCAGGAATGAATATTGTAAAGAATGGAAAGCTCGTGTATATGAGTATCAACAGGCTATCCTAAGGGCAAGAATCTCGCCTGAAGATTTTTTCAAATTCTGACCATTATCTTTCTTAGAAAGGTAAGCTCTTGCCTGATAATCAAAGCAACATGTATACAAGTGCTCGTCCGCGGACTGTGAAGTACACAAGCTCCACACACTGTCCACCGAAACACACTAATGCTGTGACGAAACTGCTCTTGCAGCTAACTATGCAGCAATCAGCGTCTGTTCTATTTTACCGACTCTTGGAAAGTCAGCTCACTGTCTTCCACACTCCCTCCAACTCCAGGGCCTCACTACTCAGGCATTAAACAGGCAGCGCCCTCCCCTGCAGCCCACTGTCTGCTGTCCTGCAATCTCACGGTGAACACACGTAGTGACCGTCTCTGCACGGATGCTTTGTTCTCACCTGTGGCCTTCTCCGGATGGACTCCTACAGGCAGGGACACTGCTCTCAGTCACTAATTTAGCAGGAGCTGCTAACTAAGCAGGGGTACTGAGGAGTCCCCAGGACTTGGGGAACAAGTGCCAACTACTGGATGGTTGGGCCTTCAAGTGCTGAGGGCCATCTGTCAGCATAAGAGATGGCACTGGTTTAAAGCTAATGGAGTCACTTTTAGGCCTGTGCCTCTAGGCCTGAGAACACAGGCTTAAGTAACCAGAGTGCATTCGCTCTCCACTCTCCCACCTAACAGATGCTCCTGGACACAGCGCTTCCCTCCCGAGCCTCTTTCCTCACCTGTACCACACAGAGGACTTGGCTGCAGAGAGTGCTGGGGCCTTCACTCGGCCGCACCGCTAGCGCCTCCATGCCTTCAGTGTGGCCAAGACTGTCGGCAGCAGCACACAAAACCAGCTGCTGCCTTCTTGTAAATAATGGAGCTCAGTCTCACACACACCGCCTTTCTCCCACATACAACACCGTGAGGGTGAGCAGCCTCAGGGTCAGCTTCGAGACGTCCTCCCGGAAGACGCATGGCACACACGACAGGATGTGCGCACAGGTGCACAGAAGCTGCCATTCTCCCTCCCCTACTTCGGCCCCCAGGAAAGCATGGGTATGCTCACACCCATTTCCACACTCAAGTTCAATAGGCGCCCAAACAGGGAAACACATCCTCTATCTCCTACAAAGAGAACCGTTGGGCAGGGCGGGTGTGCAGAGCATACTCACAAGGCCATGGTCCACTCGGAAGAACGCCATTTGACAGGGTTTATTCAAAAGATTAGAAAAAGCAATAAAGGCATCAGCAGTATCTAGATTCAAGATCAACACTGCGGCTATGAAGGACATGCCCTGTACCTGCAGGAAGGAGAGAGGCGTTAACTGTGCCGCAAAGGTGAGAGCACGCTTCCACTCACTACAGGAGCCCAGGCACCCTCACACTGGCAGGGCCCCCGGGCCCCACAGGCCCCGCCCAGGCTGAACTGCCAGCCCCCACCTGCCCCATCACCACCCCTCTCCCTCTCCACTCCCCGGCCCCTCCCAATGGGAACCCTCAGCAGAAACCCCTCTTAGGAACCCATTTGGCGTGCTGAAAGTTAGACCAAGCACACACACATCTGCTAAGCAGCGAAAACAGCAGCACACTTTTTAAAATGTTTACTGCGGAAGGCTTTTTCAATTTGATGTTGGGAAAAATCACATGGAAAAAATGAAAACCACATCCAGCTAAACTGTGATTAATGCCACAGAGCAGCTCAATCTCTTTATGAGGAAACTGAGTCAACCCAGTTACCGCAAGACTTTTCAGCTCCTCGACAAAAGGATGAAAGTATTCAACTCGACATCTAGATGTCCCGGACAACACTATGACTTTCTTCACAGACAACATTATAAAATACTGAAAGACTTCACTTACATAACCCACATCCGGCCGGTAACAAGTATAAGCGCCCAAAATACTGTGCAACATGTCATGGTACGGACCGCCCTGGAAGGATGGACACACCAAAACGACACATGCGTCAGTCCTGTTAGTGCACAGAACAGCGTCTGATGCTACTGCTACTGCACTCCCACCGGCTGCCACAAGAGGGGCGAGCAGCCCACCGTGTGCATTATGCAATTTAATGAAGACACAACCAACTCAAGTTAACAAGCAAGTGTGCAACTCAGCCTATGAAGCTGCTCTGGAAACAGCTCCTGGCTCGGGTGTGAATACTACCCAAGTCAAGCACCCCGCCACTGGCTCCCGCTGGGACCATGCCGCCTTCGAAGCCCGACAGGTGAGCCAGGGCTCCTGGGGCAAGCGGCTGCTCCTGTCTCCAGATCTGCCTGTGTCCCCCCACCACGCCCTTCCCGCTTCCTGCCCGACATTCCGTCTGCTGTTCTGCCTCTCTGTACCCAGGTTTGGGGAACAGCTACTCCACTCAGGTCCCAGTAGCTTCCGCTCTATTTCAGACACTCTCCTGATACCCCCATCCCCCCAAGATCTCCATTTGCTCTTTTTTTCCCCATTTGCTCCTTTAATTGCTTCCAAAATATTAACTGCGTGAGGAGGCAGCCTGGAGCTAGCTCAGGGCGCTGTGGGAGCGCTGGAAGATGCTCAAGTATAAGCACCCACTGCGCTCACATCCAACACCCGCCCCGGCCCTGTCTACCCAGTGCCCAGCGCTAACACAGGGATAAAAACCATTCCTGTGTGACCAGTGGACCGCACAGCCTGCGGGCTCTGTGACAGCGAGGCCCAGACCACGCAGCCACACAGACACCCTGCCATCTACACACTGAGCAGGCGCCGCCTGCTGAGCCCCACCTGCGCCTGCCCTGGAGCCCCTTCTTCTAAAACCCTCCCTTGCTTTTACCTCTGCTAGTTAGAAAGGTGACCACGCTGCTTTCTGCCAGGGCTGAGATCCCACACTATGCAGAAGACCAGGGACCCTACTTCCCCAAAGCCTCGGGGCCTCGGTCTACCACACCCCAACCTCCATGGCTGCCTGACACAAAAGGGCTCCTCAACTTCTGGTGGATTCAGCTGACTTTTAGTTTTAATTAGACACAGACATTTTTTTATAATGTAACTAGCAGAGCAGCTGCAAATAAGGAGCAAGGTCCTCAGGTGGCCTGCCTGAGGCCATGAGGCCAGCAGGAGGGAAGCCTAGATTCAAACCCAACCTGCTGAGGTCAGAGGTAAAACCTTTTCTAGGAAGCAGCAGCTTCCAGGGCCTCCAGAGCCAGTGAGGAGCTGCACTCACCCTGGGCATGGGAGGCTTGGGGCCGGGGCAGAGAAAGCCCTCTTGTGGGGAAAGCCAGGAAGCCTGAGAGGAGCGGCTGGGGCTGCACGACGCGACCTGGACCAAGGCTGAGGGAGCGGCCCAGGCTGGGGAGCAGAGGCGCTGAAGTCTGTCTGTGGAGCTGGGGTCTGCAGACTGGCCGCCCATCCTGCCCGCCCTGGTGCAGGGGCACCAGGCACTCCCAGGCTCCAGGCCCAACACCGAGCCTCTGGGGAGCTCCCCTGGTGCAAAGATTCCTGAAGACCCAGATGGGAACGTTTCTGGGTGGACTGGGGAATGGGGACGTGGGGGAGTAAGAGTGACACCAGGTGCCACTGAGGTCCTGGGCTGCCCTATGCCAGACCTGGGCACAGTGGCACAGCCACAGTTCCGGCCAGCAGGCAGGGGGCCACCTGCAGCAGTGAGGGAACAAGGCTGGAAGTGGAGCCCTGGGACACCAGGTCAGCCGCAGGACACGGCTCCCTCAAACAGGACCCACGACAGGAAGCACTCTGGCAGGCAGCAGCTTGTACACTTGGATCCAGAGACCCCCACAGTGCGGGCTGGCTCTGCCCTCAAGCTGGCTTGCCGATGCCCAGCCCCTGTGTGGAGCGATCCTACTCCGGCCCACCCCTGCCTACTACAGCCGACTCCCAGCTCAGACCCACCGAGTCACGGCTCCGCTCCTCGGCGCCACCACCAACCCTGTGCTGGCAGAGTCCCACTCCCCACCTCACCCTCCACACTCATCTAAACTCTGTCCTGTAGCCACTTTGTCTGTGTCCCCAACTACTCCTCCATTCTTTACTGGTAAACTGTTTGCAAGGCTCGGTGCTAGAAACCCGGGTGCGGCAGTGGGACTGGAAGGTCCAAGACGGGGAACGGATAGGAGAGGGGAGGGCAGGCACCCACAGGACAAGGGCATGCACTGAATCAGGCCGGTCAGATGCAGAAGACTATGGAAGGAGGACCAGCAACTCCGCCAGCCTGGGTAAGGGAGGAGCAGAGGGTGCTGTCTGCTGGCTCAAGAATAGAAGGGCTTCCAAGAGCTCTGCTCCAAGGAACCCCAAGCCCTGGTGACACCCCTGGCCTGGGTCCCATTACCCACAGGGGTGGCTCCACCCTGCTCCGACTGCCGTCCACACACAACACTGCTCTCCACCCATCTCCCATAGCCATCAGGGCCCCCTGCACCTGCCTGGCTGCCTACCCGACTGTACAGACTGTACCATGCTGCCTGCATCGTTTCCCCGGGAACTCGCATGGTGGGCTCCCTGAAATCCCACCTCCAGTGCAAAGAACAGAAGAAGCCGCCCACAGCCTGACGACGGGCCTGCCCTTCTCCAACACCTGCAGAGGCTCCAACATGCGAGCCCAGGAGCAGGACAAGGCCACTGTAAAAGCACTAGCACTGGCACCTGTTGGAAAGGGTCCATTACACTTATTTTAAAAAGTGATACCCAACCTATCCTCCAACCCGCTTTACCTCTCAATCTTTTTTTTTTTTCCTTTGGTACTGGAGATCAAACTCGGGTCCTTGTGCTTGTGGGGCAGGCGGCAGAACCACTGAGCTAAATCCCCGGCCCTCTACCTTTCAATCTTGATTACACTACAGGGAGCCAGGCACGGATGGCTTTTAGGTAAAACACACTAGAAAGAAATGACCACTTACTTGCTGGAAAATGCAGAGATTAGGAAACGTTCTGGAAATGTCCAGTTTAATAAGCTCCAGACTGGCCTCTCTGTCTGCTGCTGAAAACCCAGCATCTGACAAAAGATTCAGAGCACAGGGTGAGTCTCAACAGTGCAACCCTGCCTCAGAGCTGCCTGGGGTGAGGGCAGCTTGGAGTGTCTCACCGCAGGAGAGGAGCACCTCAGGCAGCAGCCACCAGCCACCTAACATCAACCAACACCACTCTGGGGAAAACAAGGGCAAGCAGGGAACGTGTATAAATGAACTCTAGGCACAGAAAATCCCAACCGAAAAAGCATCACTTGATCCTAAACATCACTGGTGTAAATTTAGCATATGTGGGCCCAAACAAAAGCAGAACTGCATAGGCTTCAGAAATCCCGCACCCAGATGCAGGTCAGGCTGACCAAGTGACCTCTGCACTCCCTGCAGCACTGCTATAAGGGCCAAGGAGTGGGTAAAGAAAAGGTGGCAAAGATACTCGGTGGAATACTTTGCAGTCATAAAAAGAAGGAACAACCATCGTTTTTGACAACATGGATGAGGTGGGGGACGTCGTGCTAAGTGAAATAAGCCAGGCGCAGTAAAACAAATACCACATGGTCTCACTTCTATTGGAACCTAAAAATGTTAAGCGCAGAGAAGTAGAGTAACACGGTGGCTGCCAGGGGCGAGAGGGGAGCTGGGGAGATACTGGTCAGAGAATACCAAATTTCAGTCTGGTGGGAGGAATATATTGTCCAACTCGATGACCATAGGTAACTGTATACAGTATTCCTGAAAATGCTAAGACCGAGATGTAAAGTGTTCTTACTATAAGAATTGTAACCATGAGAGGCAACGCCTATGTTAGTTAGCTAGTCAACAATGCACGATGTGTGTATACTTCAAAACATGCTGCATGTGGCAAGCATAATTCTTCTGTCAATATAAGAAGTAAAAAAAAATGAAAACAGTGTGTGGGATCTATTGCAATGCAACATGTAGCAATTCAAACAAATACTCATGAAGAACTTGTTTTGTATTTGTTTGAATTCCTGTACCACACAGTTTCTTAAAAGACTACTTAAAAATACACCTAAAAAGAGCAGCAATCCCTTGCGTGTGTGGAGGGGACCGATGGTGAGCAGAAGGGCAATGCTCCTGGTCCTCCACTGCTCGCCACGGGAGGACTCAGCCACCTGCACCAGCTCCCAGGGAACCACCGTGCCCATGAGCAGCCCCTGCAGGTCAGACCCAAAGAGCTCGCAGGGACTGTTGGGGCCTATGGCCTACAAATGCTACTTTCCTCTAATTTTGGTTTAAAAAACACTGCTCATGAAGTGATGTGTACATGTACAAGGCCCAATTGCTCTTAGGGGAACTCTGCTTGGAGGCAGAGAAGGTCGGTGACTGCCCAGAGCTGCACAGGCCGTCCCAGTCCAGGGGCTCACCAGGCCCAGGTTCTCTGCTCACGGACCTGGGAGATGGAGTCCCCGCTCTGGGCACCTGCAACCCCAGGCGCTCCAGTCGGCCGGAGCACCACCCTCTCTGGGTCACTGGCACTCGGCAGCGACAGGCTGGCTTCTTTCGCCTTCTCCCACGTGCACACGCCTCCCCCTTCCCTCCCCCTCAAGTCTTCCCTCCTCCTCAGCGATGCCTGGTGTAACCTCTTCAATGAGTTTATGTCATCTCCTAAGTCCCATTCCCAAAGAGTAAGTGCATCATGCTAAAAAGAATAAATGCAAACTCTGTTTTTTGCCCTGCAAAACTCTAAACAGCCTCCAAAACAAAATAATTACAATCTCAGGGACATCTCTTACCAGGGAGGTGACTTTCCTTCCTGCCTCCCAGTCTAAGAAGAACATGTTTGAGCACTCCTAGCTCATTCGAATTTTTGACTCCCCAATGCTCGATGACGCCCTAAAGTACTGGGTGGCACGATTTCATAACAAGGCCTCAGGAAAGTGCAGCCCTGGGGCCTGCACGCAGGAGGAGCGCACAGAGGGCAGAGCGGTGCAGATGCTAAGGGCTCAGGACTGCATGTCAGGGGGCTGCTGTGGCTGAGCTTTACGCCAGGAATTGTTCGGGGCAGCGTCCTGCGGACACAGGTCTGTACCTTCATTCTCCACTTCCGCGCCTGCCGTGCTGAAGGACCGCCACCGCTCCTTGGCCCGGGCAAGGCAGATGTCAAAGAGCTCTGGAAGAGAAGCCTCGGGTGAGTCTCAGGCGCCCACACTTTCCTCAACAACACCCTGAACACATGGGCACCTCCTTCCACCGTTTAAAGGCAGCTGTACGCAAAGAAAGACCGGCACACTGCTGCAGCACCTGGCCTTTTCTCCCACCACAGGCCACCATGGCCTCTCTCGCACTGTGCAGCGGCGGCCTGCTGCTTCTCACAGCTCTCAGCCCCTGGCACCCTGGCACATGCACCAGGAGGGACACAGCTGTTCCGTCCGTGAGCAGAGGCAGCAGGAAGCCCATCTGGTTTCAAACGAGTACGGCCAGAATCTAAAAGACACAGCCCCAAACACTAGAATCCTGAATGCTGAAATCCCCAAAGACCAAAATCCCTAACGTCTAAAATCCTGAAAATAACTTTAAAAATTCTTTAACATGTTCCCACCAGCTTGAACCACTGGCGGTAAGCAGGTGGCCATCTCAGCAGGAGGCTCGTAGTACTGCAGTGCGTGACTGTCCCTCGCCACACTGTACCTCCAGGGCTTCAGAGCCAACGGCGGGAAGACAGGTGAATTACAGCCTCGTCGCGAACGTATTAAGATGTTTATGCACATTTTTCAAGGGAGATTTATTTCAGAAACATATAAAAACACGAGAGAACACTTCACAGGTCACTTCACAATAAAATAAGCAATAACATATTTTTGAGAGTGCAACCATTCAGGTGTATTAAAGACACACCAACGGGCATGAAGTTATGACTGGATGAACTATACTCGTAAGGAAATAGGCTGCAAAGCGGAAGCTGCAAAGGTATATCACTATGGATGTAACTGTGCACACCCAGCTTTGCAACTGTTCATCTGAAACATTGTCAGACAACCCAACACTTTATTTTTTATTTATTTATTTATTGCAGAACTAGGGACCAAATCCAGGGGACTCAACAACTGAGCTACATCCTCAGCCCTTTCTGTTTGACTCAGGAACTTGCTAAGTTGCCTGGGCTGGCATCAAACTTTCTATCATCCTGCCACAGCCTCTCAAGCAGCTGGGATTACAAGCGTGTGTCCCCGCTCCAGCTCCACAGGACACATTTGACAAGATGGACAGGAACCAAGATGAATCACCACTCCATATGCAGACACCCCAAAGAGCCAAGATCTGAAGAAATTTTATCCTTTACAAATGCAGATGTACAGAAAGGACATCTCTTCCTTTACTGAGGAGGTTCCAAAGTTTCTATATACACACAGAATGTTTCACACAGGATGGGCACTGTAATAATGCACTTTCATGGGGTGAAATTTGCAAAAAAATACGTAACATAAATTAGAACTCTCTGAAAGTCTTTATAATTTATGCCTTCAGTGTTGGAAATGTGAAGATAAAATACACAGCACAGTAAATTGTAAAATATTTTTTTTAAATTGTAAAATATTAATGCTGACAATTTTTTTAAAAGGGAAAAAGATTTTTTAAAAAAAAGTAAAATCTAGGGACAGGATTTAGCTCAGTGGTTTTGCCGCCTGCTGTGCAAGTGCAAGGACCAGAGTTCGATCCCTGATAATAAACAAACAAACAAAAAAAAGTAAAAACTAAAAAGAAAATTCCAAGTATGTCAAAGCATGTTTGTTAGAGGCAGACTTCGAGCAACTGCATGCTGAGAGCTGGCCAAATTTCAGGACCATTAGCTAGAGCTGGAGTCTTACAGGATGATGAGCAGCCACTTTCTTCAGGGCATGGCTGTCCTGGGAGAAGATGTTCACGTGCATTTTCCATTCGGCTCTGCCCTTTTGTAAATCAGTCTATGTTTTTTGGGGTTTTTTTGGTACCGGGGATAGAACTCGGGTCCTTGCGCTTGTGCAGCAGGCGGCGAAACCACTGAGCTAAATCCCCGGCCCTCAGTCTATGATTTTATATACACTGACCTGAGCACTTCCTATTACACCCCTGCCCTCCACATCACGCTTCTGTGCTGCTCTGCCTATGTGGACATCCACCACGCCTGCACTTCAGTACAGACCGCAAAGGTGGTGGCAGGGGTACTGTTGTGGAGAGGTGCCCAGGGACAGCCGAGCTCTGTGACAACAGGCAAGCATCGCGACATCTCCAACGCTCCACATTGGCACCTGCTCAACAGCTCCTCTTTGGGTGGCTGGGTCACACTCAGGTAGCAACTCCTGCTCACAAACCTCACACACACACAGCCTGCCCTGCTGTCCCCAGGCCCATGCTTCTCCAGAGGATGCTTCTCAGGCCCCACCCAACCTGCCCAGGTGCTTCCTGTCCTCCGGCTCTGTCTCTTCCCAGCTCCTCTCGAGGTCTGGGATCACAGTCATCGCTGAGGCTTTAACTGAAGCTACCCACAGAGTTTTTACCACTTTAAATTTCCCGTCATTACTTCTGAAAAAGAAAGCAGGGTACCCCTGCCTTCTAGGCAGTGCACACTATTTTATTGAAGTGTAATTTAAATTCTAGCAGCACTGTTCCAGTCCAGCGTCTCAGTTAATGGCCTTGTTGTGGGCTTGTGAGGCTCTAACTCATGATCGATGCCAGTCTGCCATGGCAGCAGGGCACAGCTCTAAGACAATCTCCTACCACCAAGGTTCCAGAAGGGTAAATGCTTACAGGAAAAATGAGGTGTCCTGAGCCACAGCTAGAACTTCTGCCTGCTTGCAGCTTCCAGGAGGTGCTCAATGCTTATGTCCCTCTGGAGGAGACGGACAGGAGCAACTGTGTGCCCGGTGATCACCAGTGAGCCACTCACAAACAAGGAACCTGGCAGCCTCAGTGAAATGGGTCAAAGTATCAGTTTACAAAATCTCCCTGTGGTCTTCCTGGTGTGCGCTGAGCAGTTATTAAATCCTCTTCCCACGAGACCGCAATGGTAAATATATACGCACTGAATACCAGTGCACCCAACTTTATCAAACAGATACTACGGGACATAAAAGATCAAATAAACATCAACATAATCTTGTGGGGGACCTTAATCTCCACTGTCACAAATAGACAAATGAGCCAGGCATGGTCATCCCAGCACAGTTCAGCCCATGCCTGTAACCCCAGCACTCAGGAGGCTGATGCGGAGGATCACCGTGAGTTCAAGACCAGCCTGGACTACACAGTGAGTTCAAGGATAGCTGGAACAATACAATGAGACCCTGTCTCAAAAGACAAAAACATACCGCCGGGGATTTAGCTCAGTGGTTCCGCTGCCTGCCTCATAAGCACAATGTCCCGAGTTTGATCCCCAGTACCAAAAAAACAAAACCCAAAAAAAAAGATATAATAATCAACAAAGAAATATCAAAACTGAACCCTATCTTCAAACAGACTTGATAGGCATCTACAGTGTTCCACCCAACTCCAACAGGGTGCACTTTCTTCTCAGCAGCACACAGAGCCTTCTCCAGAACAGGCCACCGCCTAGTCCATAAAGCTTGCTTACCAAACCCAAAAGAAGCACAATTACCTCATGCGGACTCTCGGATCACAGAACATGGAAATTAGAAATGAATGGCAAAAGAAGCACAGAAACTTCATAAAAACCTAGACATTAAACCACACATTCCTGACCGCCTGATCATTCACAAAAGAAATTAAACAATTCCTAGACCCAAACTGCAATGCCAGTCCCATGTACCCATGGGACAGTGAAAGCTGTCCTAACAGGGACGTTCAGTGCTGTGACACTCATGTTAGAAAAACAGCAAGCTCGAAGAAATAACCTAATGATGGGCCCCAAGGTCCTATGAGAAACTGTATTCCAGCAAATCAGAGAACCCTGACGAAATGGACAGGCTCCTAGACTTAATAGGAAACAGGAAAACAGATCTTTTGCAAATGGAAAGGGGATCAAGAGATAGGAGGGGAGTGGGAGAGAATAAAAAGAATCAAGATATGTTAAGTACATGGACCTGCTCCCCAGGACGAAGGTAAACATTAAATACTGCAAACATAAACTAATAACAAATAGTAATAAATAAATTAAATGCTCAGGACTTTTAAACGTAAAAGAAAAAAAGAAAACCACCTTCTCAGACCGTGAGCCACAATGTCAAAAGCACAAGCCTGACTTGTCTAAGAGCCAAGTTTTAAAGTACCATTCGACTGGCCTTCTTAAGTTTTCCAATGACACAAACACAGAAAGAGCAAAACCCTGGGGTTTCCCATCTCAGGGCACAGGTTTAGGACCAGCCAGGCCGGGGGTGAGGGAGCCAGCCCCATGCACACTAGACACAGCTGGCACAGCCCCAGCCTTTCCAGGACGGTCAGCTTTCTCAGGCGGAAAGGAGGCCATCCAGACCTGCCCAGCAACCACGCCTGGCTGCAGGCAATCCGAGCCCAAGCTCCCCATCTGGCACTGGCTCAGATGGAGTGAGAGACAGTAAGACGCATCCACTCGCTCAACAAAGGTTTCTGGAGGGCCTGCCAAGTGCAGAGAACTGGGCTGGGCATGGGTAGCAGAGCAGAGAGCAGGCAGCGCGGCCACGGCGTCCTGAGGACAAGTGACACGAAGCAGCAAATCATACAAGACACGGCTCACACAACGCAAGGCAAGATCGAAGTTTAGACAGAAGTTCAAGACGTGGGATTGGTTAATTAGCTGCTTACCCACTCTACTATGATCTAGTCCACAGAAGGTTTTAATTCAAGTAAAATCAACCTAGGCATCAGTGAGAACCAAAAATTGGACACACACGCAGACACACAGGAGCTGCACGTTACACCCAATTCGGACAGACAGGGAGCAACTTCTCCAACTTCATCTTCTGAGGCTGCTTCTCAAAAACTTCTTCCACAAGTGAAATGTTCATGCATTTTCTCACAGAAAGCCATGGATTTGGCCACGTGAGAGCTTTCTGGAGGTTCCCTGACCCGACCCCCCCACTTCAGGAAGCCAGTTGCCAGCCCACAGACCAGCTTCACTTGGGGAGAGCCACTGTCAAGAGAAAAACAATAACCCACCGAGGGGAAGGCACAGACCAGTCTGCCATACACTCACAGGCCTCCCGGAGAACCACTGAACACAACCGCACAGGCCTACGGGGCAGACACACGCTAAGCAGAGGCTACACAGCACGACAAGTAGCACGCGGACAGTGAGGTCAGACCCACTCCCTCGACACTTGGGCCACCAAAAACCCCAAGATCAGGCCTAGCAGTGTGCTGTCCCCTCTAAGGTTGCCTGAAAAACTCCCTGGAATGTAGCCCCAGGACAACAAGCTCCTCCACCTTCACATCTGACCAAGACCTGCCTTCCACAGGACTCAGCGTCTCGCCTGAGCTTTAAAGGCCACGTCCACTGTCCCTTCTGCCTGCAGCACATGCCCTGCCCTCAGAGACCCAAAGCACCTGGCACAGGACCCACCGCCCATGGCCCTCTCCGGGGTACACAGGCACCTGGCCTGTCATAGACATAGCTGCGTGGCAGTCACCGCCATCCTTCCCAAGGGGCCGCAGGGGACAGAGGGGCCCCAGGGTCCAGGCAGGGAGCCACTCACCGTGGGTGATGTTCAGCTCGTTGCCGATGGCTAAGCTCCAGACCCTGCCTCTCACGCTGGGCGGGATTCCCTGCCACCACAGATCACGAACCTTCCGTGAGCACCACCTGGACGGAACGGAAACGAGCTGTGTTCGCCGTGAAGACGGGCTCATCCGAGCAGGGCCACCCACAGCACCAGGGCAGGGTGCAGCCCTGCCCTCAGCCAGCGTGCTCCGGGTCTACACAGATCGTACCACCTCCTGCTGGGCCTGCTGGGACAGGCAGGGAGGGAACACGGGTGCCCAGACAGACGGGACAGCCATAGCCCCACTGCACACAGGTCAGCTGGTGGACCATGAGGGTAGGGACCAGCCCAGAACACTCCGAAGGGGGCAGGTGTCAGGACTGTGGGTTGCAATGAACACGCGCTGCCTAAGGATGGGGCCAGGGAAAGGCGGCAGGCACAGCACGGGGCCCAGGCTGAGGCTGCATTGCCAAGCGGTGTCCCATTGCACCCTCACCTGGGGGACCCAGAGCCACTACTGCTCCTCCCTGGACCCTCAGCATCCTCTAAAACTGGCCGAGGAAGCCTTCCCCGAGGGCAGCAGTGAACACCAAGTGCAACAGAGTCCAGAGCACCGAGGAGTGGCCGGCGCGGAGTTGGTGTGCACTACAGTGTGTGTTCAGACCGCACCCGGCACTGCAGGGCAGGACCGGGCGGGGCTCAGCGGCCACGGGTGGACAGCCAGGGTCCGAGCCCCTGCCCTGCCACAGGGTTCTGTGTAAGAAAAGTGTCCTCATTTCCTGGCAGCACCCAGCCTCCAACAGACGGACACCGCCAGGGAAGTAGGCTCGGCACAGCCCCTGCCCAGGACAGCCCTCCCAGGCCCAGACCCTGCAGTGAGCGTCCACACCAGGCGCGGTCAGGGGGTCCCCAGCACCGTGCCACCATGCTCCCCACCAGCCTCCTCTGACCGCACAGAAGACAGGCAGGTGGACACTGACCCCGGAAGTGACCAAGCCCCAGCTGCCGGGCTCCATGGTGCCTGTTCTCCACGGACACCTGGGTCACTGACACCAGGGCTCAGTGGCACCGGGGTTGGCAGCAGAGACAACCTGGTCTCCACCCTCAGAAAGGCAGGAGGGTACCCCAGGGAGTCTTCCACAGCCACCTGGAGCTGCGGTGGGGCAGGAAAGTCTTCCGTGGGGAACACAGAGCTTTAGTGAACAGGATGGGGGGTTCAGGTCAAGGGCACCCAGACTCAGGAAACAGAACATGCAAAGGCCCTGAGGTTGAAAGCACTAATCCTGTTGATGGTCCACTAGGGACAAGGCTGGGCCCAAGTGAAAGGAGAGTAGGGTGAGGCTACAGAGGTGGGGCAGGCAGGAGGCTTCAGGCCTCAGAGCTCTGAAGTTCAAGGTCTATACTGAGTATCCTAGGAAATGAGTGAAATTTTGGGGAGTGACAAAGATTTGTGCTTTACAAACACAGTCAGGATGCTGAGCACAAGATGAACTGAAGGGCAGGAAAGGGGCTGTCTCAGTCCCCTGGCTGGACCAAGGCAACTCACAGCAACCCCATCACCAGCCTCACCACGAGCCCCCTAGACTGCGGCCTGGTGGGCAGTGCCAGAGCCCAGCCTTACATGGTGTCCCAGTTGGGCAGGATCTCATTATTCCAGGTGAGGACAGCGTTTCCGATGCTTTCTTCCACTCTGCACCTTTCCTCCTGCTGCTTTTTCCTCCGCTGGGCTTCCTTGAGCTCTGGAAATCATCACAATGACAAACGAGAAGGAGCCTGTATCAAGTCACGGTGCAGAAACAGCAGGGAAAGAGCGCTGAAGCGGGCACACACCAGCCCGGTCTCCCTTCCCGCCCATGGATTCAAGCGTGTTCGGCACACTTTGCAGTGAACTTTTCAAGTGCAGCACGTACAGAGGGAACTGTACAGGTGCAAGCACAATACAATCGATCAGCACAGACAAGCCCGTCACACCACCACACCAGACAACACAACCTCACCGGACACAAGAAGCCCTTCACATGCTCCCCGCCACCCCTCCAAAGGTGACCTGAAAGGCCCACTTCTAGCAGCTCAGGTGCTGCTCTTAAGGTAGAGACAGCAACTCTGAGGAAGCCCAGGCTTTTAGTGTACACACACTCCACATCGACCCTGCAGCCATGGATTCCGCATCCACGCATTCAACCAACCGGTGACGGAAAACACTTGGAAAAATCACACCTGCACCAAACACGTACAGATATATTTTCATGTCGTTATTCCTAAACTATACAATGCATCAACTATTTACACAGAATTTACATTTGATTAGTGGTGACTTAAAGTATACACGAGAGGCGGACGTGGCGGACCTGCAATCCCAGCACTCAGGAGGCTGAGGCAGGAGGATCACCTCGAGTTCAAGGGCAGCCTGGGCTACACAGCGAGACCCTGTCTCAAATACCTCTCAGTGTATAGTACAGTACATAGGCAAATGTGTGTAGTCATATACAAATTTACCTGAGACTTGAACATCCACAGGTTTTGGTACCCACAGAGGGTCCTGGAACCCTTCCCCATGGACACTCATGGACTATACTTTTTTACTGTGGCAAAATACACATCATGTCAAATTTTACCATCGGAACCATTTCCCTACACAGCTCAGGAGCACTGAGTCCGTGTGTAGCTGTCACCACATCTGTCCCTACACCTTTCTCATCCCAACTGAAACTCTGTCCCATGCACCACTAGCACCCTGACACCCACCATCCTACTTCGTCTCAATGAGGGTAGTGGGTCTGGGGGCCCCAGATGTGTGCGAATGTAAAGTCTCCGTCCTCTGAGACTGCGAGTTCCACCTAGGGTGACGGCCTGCAGGCTGGGCATGGGCCAAAGCTCCTCCTTCCTGGAGGATACACAGAATTCCACTCTACCCAGGCACCAGTTTACTATTAATACATTCAAATATTCAAGAACCGTAGGTTTTAGGTACTGCAGGGGATTGTATCAAATCCAATTCCACCTTCCAAAAAAAAGAAAACAGCCCAGTGAGGAAAAGAAATTCCAATGTCATGCCTGAGGCTTTCTCTACTACAGAATTCTTTTTTTTTTTTTTTTTTTGGTACCGGGGATCGAACTCGGGGCCTTGCGCTTTCAAGGCGGGCGGTGGAACCACTGAGCTAAATCCCCAGCCCTACTACAGAATTCTCTTCCTGGATGGCCTCTTTTCCCATGGAAGTTTAAAGGGCTTCTACCTTGAAATAAGGTTACCAGGATGAACAGAGCCATGTATTTTTGATGGAAAGCTACAAATTTGAAAATACTAAAGCTTCTGAGGAAGTTGAGGTTCTAGGGTTCCAAAGATGAAATGGAAACTGTGAGAGCCCCAGCCCGTGCCTGGTGCCCAGCGTACCTACCTCGCTTCTTGGCCTGCACCACCATCTCTTCATACTGCTGCCTGTGCTTCTGGGCTTCGTCAGCTGGCTTCGCAGGGAGATTGCTTGATGGGAGATAAGTGGGTTTCACCATTACAAATATCAGGTAAGAGTGTGAGAGAAAATACCTGCAGCACTAGTTATAAAATACTGTGAAGGGTTAGGGATTTAGCTCAGTGGTTCTGCCACCTGCCTTGAAAGCGCAAGGACCCGAGTTTGATCCCTGGTACCAAAAAAAAAAAAAAAAAGTAAAGAAAAAAGAAAATACTGTAAAGCTTGGGATCGAAAACTAATTTTTTAAAAATTGCACCATTCTTTTAGAAACTACAATGTTTTTTGACAAAAGCAAAAAGCTCACTGCCAAACAATTGAATTCTACAGGTTAAAACAAACCAATTACCCATAATTACAACAGAGAGAAACCTTTGTGTCACTTCTCTCCACTTTCCGTGGAAACTGACTGGACCACAAGACCCTCCTCATGTTCTGCATCAGCTCCAAGGGCGGCATTTCCCACACAGGCGCAGCAACACCGAATCTTGTGGTACGGGCCTCACAGCAACCACGTTACCCAGGTGCACGTGTACATTCTCTTGCTATGCTTTTAAGTGTGAAGTTTCATGAGCAGCCCTAGTTCTTTTTTATTGTTAAGGCACAAATGTGTGTCACAGTCCTGCACCCATTTAAACCGACAAAATGCACGCTCTCTCACTTCCATGGCTGGACTGCCGGCACCTAACTGAAGAGGACCCTGTTCCTTCCCAATTCAGAACCACTGTTGCTGGTGACAGGAGAATGGGGCGAGTCCATGTATCAAAGCACTAGAAGGGACGCTCCTCACCGTGCAGCGGCCTCTGCCTAACTCTGCAGCCCTCTACTTCAGGGTCTACCACACCCAGCTTCTGAGAGCCAAGAAATAAAAGCAAAAAGACACTCTTTCTTTGCGATTTCGCTTGTTTTCAACTTTCAGGGATTGGACCACGCCTTAAGGGTTAACTAGATGTTTACAACAACCTCTTTTTCTTCTTCTTCTACCCTTTCTTGAGCTTGGGACCTCCTATTCTAGCACTTGTAGACAGATCAGTTGTGTCCTGGCACAAGGGAGCAATTCCTGGTAACCGTGAAGGTCTCCCAGCAGGGCCTCTTCATCACACATAGGGAGTCAGAGGCCAGAAAGGACACCGCAAGGACAACCTACACCCAGCTTGCTGCGATCCCAAGGACTCGGGGCCAGTCCACAGTGCCCTGCAGTATTATGCACCTCTAATACATCATGCCGGAGTATACTTCCCAGGGTCTCTTGCCATTGCAAGCCAGTTAGCATTTACTACTCAGGTATTCTTAAACGCTAAAAGGAAAATCGCCTGAATGGAAAGCCTGGTGACCACGTCTATGCTGAAGGACCATTCTCCCAGTCAGCCACTGACAGCACCACACAATGCATGGGGACACAGGCATGACAGCTGCTTATGGCCACCCCTCCTCCTCCTGCTGACCTCACTCCTCCCTAATGTGAAGGGGATTAGCAAGCTGTCCTCCTCTAAAGCAGACACCAGAGAATGCTCTAAGACTCACGCTGGTCTGTCCTCGAGGATGAGGGCGGTGGTGGAAAGTGGCTCAAAACCAAGATTCTTCCTCACATTCTGCTTTGGTGAAGGTGGCCGGCTAGGTCTTCCAGCCTTGTCTTCATATTCCTAGGACAGAGAAGCCAAGGGTGACTCTGGGTCCAGACATTTCTTGTTTCACAAAGTCCTGGCAAAAGTAAGAAAGTTATTCCGAAATGAGAGTCCTTTAGATCACCTTTGAGAATGACACACTGAAAATCTTTCCCAGGATCCTGAAGGCACGCCACCACTGAAAGGCTTCCTTCCCCAGCTCTGCCGCCAAGGCAGCATGACTCCCCTGCTGGTACATGTCCCCAGGGGCCTCATCATGGAAGCGGCCCCTGATAAGGACCTGAACCCCGACTCAGGCTTCCTATTCTTCTCCCAGTGAGACCTATGTTTCTTCTGGACACTGCAAAGCACTTTCTCTAGTCCTGAGGATCAGATCCTGGGTGCACTACCACTGAGCTACAACCTGAGCCCTTTTTTTTTTTTTTTGGTGCCGGGAATCGAACTCAGGACCTTGCACTTTCGAGGCAGGCGTCGGAACCGCTGAGCTAAATCCCTGGCCCAAGCCCTTGTTATTTTTATTTGGAGACAAGATCTCACTAAGTTGCCCAGCTGGCATCAAACTTCTGACCCTCCAGCTTCAGTCTCCTGAGTAGCTGAAATTACAGGCATGCACCACCATGCCAACTGGACACTATACACTTTGATTAATTACTGTCATGGCCACTGGGAAGCCATTGCCACAAATTGTTATGTAAATAATTTTACAAGGCCCTAGAAATCTAAGAGCAGTCTCCGTACTCGGTGAGCCACCAATCTGTTGGACAGACTACAACCACAAGAGCTCAGTCACAGCTGATGACCCACATGGCAGACGCCCACCCAGAGGGCAGAGGAAGCTGGTGCTTCTGAAGTAACGCCTGTGCGTGTGTGTGCGCCCTTAGCTCCCTGAAAAGTCAAGACAGTATTTCCGTGTTGGTCCATTACAGACAAGGCTCTCGGGACCACCCCTGAAGAGGAGCTCGAGTAGCCGAGGAGTCCCACAAACAAATGTGCAGCTAACCTGGGATTCCAGTGCCCGCGCCGACAGCAAGACAAGTGCTGGCAGGAGGCAGTGGCTAATTGCTAAGCGGATTTCACTGACGTTAGCTGCCAAGGGGTGTCGTCGCTCACAATATCATTTTGCAAGCAATTATTCTCAGCCAGAAAGGCCTACTGAGGCGTCTAGAACTGAACAAGTAGAAAATTATTTCCTCAAAATAGCAAGACTGTGAGAAATGGGTAAAGGGCAGTTTCTGCACATCTGGATGCACCAGGTTAGAGACAGTACTCTGGCCCACTGAACTACTGAGTCACCCAGTTTACCTGAAACTCAGAAAGCAGCCATACCCACTCACGGACCTGAGTACCTGAGGCTGCCCACCAGCGACTGAGCAGGTGCCAGCCGCAGAAAGCTTGAAGTCCAGTACCCGGATGCTAAAATCTGCAGTTTTATAGAAAATCTACCAACAGCTGTGTGCCAAGAAAGATTCTGGGGCCTGCTAAATGCTGACAAGAATTGGTCGCAAATACCCGTGAGGCGCTGCTTATCCACTAAGCCTGGGTAGTGAACTACAGGCCGAAGCAAAGACACTGCAGCCCAAAGCCAGCTGCCCCCGTCTGCACTGTGCCCCACACGTCCCCCTCTGCCTCTGTAACCATCGAGTGGCAGGCGGGACCCGCTGCAGACCGGCCCTCCCGTGTGGACAGCCCCAACCAGGAGCACAGCAGAGGGGAAAGCCCAGTCCTGCTCCGTCAGGCACCAGCTCCTCTGACCTCCGCTCACCTGGAGTCCCTAGCCCCACATCCACCTCTATGAAGCCCCACAGCTGCTGGGACCATGGGAGATGGTTGGGCGGCTGCCAGCGACAGCTCTGGGACACAGCAACCAGACTGCATGTGCCACTGCTCGTCTTCCCCTTATACCTGAAACAACCGAGTCAGGGAAGAAACAGGGGCCCATGGCCAGACCACAAGCAGGGGCTCTGCAGAGCCCACAGTGGGTGGGGGCCACAGGAAGGAGGCGCCTTGGCCCTAGACCAAAAGCACTGCTCACCATTCCCAGTGACAGCACCCAGTGGCAGCTGCCTAGGCTGAGGGGCCATGCGCGTCCCCTGGGCCTCACATGCAGGTAACATAACCCGCACACTAGCCCTGGAGGAGGCAGCCACCATCCCCAACTCTCACATGGGTACGCCGGGCCCGAGACGCCGTGAAGTGCTAGCGGGTGAGGGGGGGCCGGAGGGACTCCAGGCGGTGGCTCTCACCACAGAATCCATGCAAGCCCCTTGAAGACAGGGTTGGCAGCAATTCCATCACGCTCAGCCCAGGGAAAGCACGACAGGCCTGAACCCTGAGTTAAGTGCCGAGTTAGTGAAGATGCAGGGTCAAATATGACATTTCCTTACAGTGACGCACGATTAAAATAACAGGGGAGGCCTGGCCTGCCCAAACTTGAAATTGCAAGTGCGGCCCTTCCAAAGCTCTGAGTGGAACTTTCGAGCTCGAATGTGCCAGCAATGGCCCCATCATCATGCTCCGAACCTGGGCTGCCTTCTCCTGTGGCCTCCTAGAGGCATCCACAGTAAGCTCTCGCTCTCCAAGCCAGAAAACCACCCCCAGGAGCATGAAGTCTACTCACTCTCAGGACCCCGGGCAGGGTGAAGAGCTGTGGATTCCACACTCAGTCACGCGTTATCCACATTAGGATCAACACGTGTGTGGCAGGAGCTGAGGGCTCGGAACAAGTACTGAGCTCTAAGACCTGCCTCTGAGCTTAAGCAAGTCATCCGGGGTCTCTCGGCCTCAGCCTCCTCAAGGTGAGTGCAGAAAAGGCGATGACCCCGAGATAAACAGCCAGAATGGGACAGGACAGGTGGGAGGCCACGAGCCCACCTAACGCGCTCTTCCCGAGTGCCAGTAACAGCGGTCTTCACTGAGGCCCATCAAGAGCCTGGCAGGCGCCTCAGGAAAACAACTGTCCATCCCTGCGCCTGCTGCCCAGTCTACCCTGGACAACTACAGAGGAACTGAGAAAGGGCTCTCAAAGTCCTAGTGCAACTCAGTTTAACTGGTCGGTCCCCGTAACCTTTTTAATCAAATACTACAAACCAGAACGCACATCGCAGAGGCAGCTCAGGAGTGTCTAAAGAAAGCCTGTGTGTTGCTGCTGTGTTGGCACTTACATTGGGGTCCCTGCCCTGAGGAGTCCGTGCCAACAGGCCCGCCCACACAGAAGATGCTGCTCCTAACCAGGGGCAAAGTTGCGGGGTGCAGTCTGGTGACCCAGCACAGGTTCAGGGAAAGAAAAGCGGGGTCCCCAGGGCAGGGCTTCAGATGGAGAACATGAGCAAAACTGCTGTAGCAGGCAGAAGAAGGAAGGGGACCAGGCACCAAAGGGGAGTCTTACGCGAGAGGAGGCCGTGTGGGGCCCGCAGGGAGAGACGGTAAGGCCCAGGCAGAGGCCACTGCACAGCAAGACAAGAAACACAGCAAGAGGGGTGACAACAGGCTGCAAGAGACCAGAGGGAACCATGAGCACATCCCATGACCAGTGCCACCTGAGCAGACAGGAAAGGTCAGGAGCAGAGGGCACATGAAGAAGTGTTCTGGATAAGCAGGGCCCAAGTGTACCTGGCAGCAGGCTGACTTGGGGATAAAGAGGGTAGAGAGGGAAAGACGCTAAGCTGAAGCTGTTTGGTCTAGATTTGATGCTCTCAACAAAAACCTTAGAGCTGGAGGGCCAGCCCAGGAGGGAGAGGAGCCAAGTCTGACACAGGGCAGGAAAGCCGAGTGCATGTGTCGGTGGTGGGTAGCCCACAATGAACACAGCAGGGCGAGGGGCTGGGGATTTAGCTCAGTGGTTCCGGCGCCTGCCTTGCAAGCATAAGGTCCTGAGTTCGATCCCTGGTACCCAAAAAAAAAAAAAATTAGGGCCGGGGATTTAGCTCAGTGGTTCTGCCACCTGCCTCAAAAGCGCAAGGTCCCTGAGTTCGATCCCCAGTACCAAAAGAAAAAAAAAAAAAAACTAGCAGGGTGGATCTCACCTGCAGGAGCTGCCCAGGTCAAGGAGTAGATTAGGTTAAAAACTTGCTGGTTAGGAAAGACACAGAAAAGCTGGCCTCAACAGATTCAGCAGGTGAAGAAAACTGCAGGACTGGCAAAAAGCAAAGCAAGTCTCTGGGTGGAAAAACAGGGGTCATCAATGTCACAGAACTGGAAGAGCGCTACACAGATAGCCAATCCCATCAACCCTCGGACCAGAAGAATCCCCCGGCTTCTAGTGAGAGGGAGAAATGGCCATTGGACATACCCTGGCTCTGCTGTCCACTCGAGGGAGGCCTGTGAAGATAACCAGAAGCTTCAGGCATGTCTGGAATAAGACTTTCCCACACACAGGCCACCCACGTGGTCCCTCTAAAGGCGAGCCTGAACTAGGTCAGTGACAGTACAGCGGCCCAGTCTGCTCACGCTGAGGACCAGGCAGCCTGCCTGGGACATTCTGGGGTTGAACGTCCCCCGAGGCCTCGACACCTGGTCTCCGGGAGCAAGGTCTTCCCGTCCAAGCCAGCTTCCCATCTTAAGTGCCAAGATTTCAGGGGGATGAATAAGCATAAGACAAGTGACCACAGCAAGTGTCCAGAGGAGGACTGGCGTTGGGCTGTCGCTCTACTCTGTAAAATACTTTCCAAGTACAGGGGTACTCAGCAGGGTCGTGGTGAACCAGCGCGCAGCTGGGCCACATCTGCCCACCAGCGAGCAAGTGCAGGGCGCGGCTCTAGGACCGGGAATACGCGTCTGAGGCGAAGCCCGGTCTGCGCGGGTCTCCCGGGAGCTGGAGACCCCAGGCAAGGCCGCAGGGCACCGCAGCTCCATCTACCCCGTCCGTCGGCACAGGCTTCTCCCGGGAAGCGCTCGGAGCTGAGCTGCCGGGAGCCCTGGCAGTGGGAAGCAGCTCTCCGAGACCTTCTCCCCGGGTCATACTCCCTCTCGGTACCGGGACCCCGCGCGAGGACGGCCGTCGAGGCGCTCGCCCGGCCCCG